CACTCCTCCACAACCCCAGCCCACCTCATATACCTGAGATTCCCTCCTCTTCCCCAGCCCTTGACCCCCTCGGTCCATAGGCCTGGAGCGGTCAACCCATCTTTATCTTGAGGAATTGTCAAGTCCCCGCACCCTTCAGCAGGCTGCCTTAGAAACTGTAGGCGCGATAAGCGAGGGAGTGATTTAAGATCCATTTAAACATGCCGTGAGCCGGATCTGGAAAGGAAAACACAGCCTAGGAAGTTGGCAAGCCAGACGCTCTTGTGTTAGAGACCAGTAAGACGGGTGTTTGCTGTCAGGTAAGCTCTGACTTCCCCACCGCCCTCCCCCTCCTCTCCTCAGTGGGAGGTTTGGAGCCTATGAGACTTACACCACCGGCATCCCAGCTTGCCCTTGGCAGGTAGTGAAACCTTTCAAAACCCAGTCCCTGAATGAGAGACACCCAGGTGGCAGAGGAGAGGGCCCAGGTCACCTCCTCCTCCTTCACGACAGTCACGCCAGGTTTTCTGGGGTCCCGTCTCTGTGCCCTTCTAGGGCAGGGCAGCCCGTGGTTGTATCTTCCGTAGTTACCCTGCGTTGAGGAGAGGTCTCGTCGCCCCCGGGCGTGCTGCCCTGCCGAGGGCTGAGTGAACGGCAGCACGACGGTGGATGGGGCCCCAGAGCCCCGTGTGGCCCGGGCCAACGCTCTGGGGGCACTTTGGGAGGGAACAGGTGCCTTCCCTTCTTCACCGAGGTGCCCCCTTCTGCTGTGGAGCCTCAGAGCCCCTAATTTGTCTCGTGTTACTATAATCACCGAGGTCAGTAGGAGAAATTGCTGAAGACTTCTACTGTGTGGAGGCACGTTCCCCATGAACGTCACCACGTTTGGTGATTCACTAGAAGGACCCACAGCACCCAGAATATAGTTGTACTCATGGCTAAGGTTTAACACTGAAAGGATCAGCAGGAGAAGGATATAGGCGGAGTCTGGGGACATCCGTGCACAGGCCTTTGATGCTCCCTGCCTCCTGTGAGGGGCCCAACGAGGGCGTTCCTTCCCCCAGCAAGGAAAACGCAGTTAACACACGCGTGATGTGTCCGCCCGGGGCACCCTGTGGAGCCTCAGCCCCAAGGATTGTACCGGGGGTGCTCATGAAGGCAGTACATGCTGCCGAAATTCCAGACTTGCAGAAGGAAAGCAGGTGTCCTGCATCCACGACCTTGTCTGGAAACCAGCATAGGCACCTTGACCCACCCTTACCAGGGAATGGAGGGGGCAGTTCAAGCACCACGTTCCCAGAAGCCAGCCAAGGACCAGCCTTGCAAGCAGGACCTTGCAAAGGTAGCAGGCGTGGGTGGGCTACAGGCAGGTTGCATGAAAAGTGGGGGGAGGCACGGTGTTGGGAGGCAAAGGTGGCCAGAGATGGGAGTTCACAGAGATGTGCTCTGGTCCCCACAGCAAACCTCAGCTTCCATTCGGCTAAGATGGGGGCCGCAGTGAGGGTCACCTGGGATAGTAGACACGCGGACGCTGCCCTCCGCAGTTGCTCTCAAACGTCTCTTCGCTCAGGGGCGCCTGGATGGCTCAGTTGGTTAAATGTCCGACTTTGGCTCAGGGCGTGATCTCACGGTTCGTGAGTTTGAGCCCCGCGTTGGGCTCTGTGCTGGCATCTCGGAACCTGGGGCCTGCTTCAAATTCTGTGTCTCCCTCTCTCTCTGCTCCTCCTCCTCTCATGCTCTGTCTCTTTCTCTTTCAAAAATAGATAGACATTACAAAAAATTTAAAAAAAAAAACGTTTCGCTCAAAATTTGTTTTCTTGCTTTAAAATATATTTTAATTGTAGGAAACTCATAACGTATGAAAAAGCTTAAAGAAATAATAAAAAAGGTGCTTCTCAGAAAAAAAAAAAAAAAAAAAAAAAAAAAAAAAACAACTCCAAGCCCTGAACCTGTTCATCCAGAGTTCAGTTATATTCGCGTATACATAAACTTACCCGTATCTGTTTCTTTACATGACAGGGATCAAATTTTATGTAATATTTTACAACTAGTTTTCCTCACTTGGTATCATAAACATTCTTCCTACATCCCTAAATGCTTTTTTGATTATTTTGATCACTTCGGTTACTTAACTGGGCGTGTAATATTCTGTTGTAAGGATGGTCTGCAGTTTATGTAGCCCTTCCCCAACTGTTATGTCTTTTCTCCTAATGTCTTTAGAAACACTTTTGTGATGAACATACACCTTTGAGCACCTAGCTGATTAGTTCCTTGAAGTAAATGTCTAAAAGTGGAAAAACTTAAAAAGTATAATTTTTCTCCTTCCAGGATCCAGATGAATGCTGATAGAATAATTTTGTTACCTGACTTCTTTATTAGATCTGTCTGGTTTCATTAAATTATTTGGTTGGCCAACTTTGCTTATGTCATGGCACGCCTAGAGGAAAATGTCATTTGTATGGCTTCCTGGGGTCAAAACTTTCCGTCCACCTCCAGCCGCTCAGAGGTGGGAGAGGGCTGAGCAGTTGGGGTAATCACCTCAACCAGCCTGTAACGTGTTCACGGGGCTATAGATTATGTTCCTAACTTAGACTACAAAGTTAAACAAGTATTTTTAAATGGAAATATAAAATGCATATAGAAAAGCGCACATTTTATTTTTATTTTTATTTATTTATTTTATTTATTTATTTATTTTTTTTTAAATTTTCTTTTTTTTTGAACGTTTATTTATTTTTGGGACAGAGAGAGACAGAGCATGAACGGGGGAGGGGCAGAGAGAGAGGGAGACACAGAATCAGAAACAGGCTCCAGGCTCTGAGCCATCAGCCCAGAGCCTGACGCGGGGCTCGAACTCCCGGACCGCGAGATCGTGACCTGGCTGAAGTCGGACGCTTAACCGACTGCGCCACCCAGGCGCCCCTTATTTTTATTTTTTTAACATTTATTTTTGAGGGAGAGCGAGCGAGCGAGCACGCACGCGTGTAAGTGGGGAGGGGCAGAGAGGAGGACAGAGGATCCAAAGCAGTCTCTGTGCTGACAGCAGCGAGCCCGATGTGGGGCTTGAACTCACAAACCATGAGAACCTGAGCCGAAGTCGACCTTCGACCGATTGAGCCTCCCAGGTGCCTCAAAAAGCGCCCATTTTATAAGTGTGCAGCATGATGATTTTTCACGATCGCCTATAAAACTAGTACCCAGGTCAAGAACTAGAACAGCACCAGCCCCACAGCAGCCTTTCAGGATCCTTTCTAATCCCTACCCTCCCTCCCCAACCTCCACTGCCAAGAGCAATCCCTCTCCTAGCCTGTGCCCGCAGAGATTAGTTTTCTCTGTTTCCGTACATGATATAAATGGAGTAATCATACGGTATGCGCTCTTCTGCGTCTGGCTGATTCCACTCTGTTTATTTTCCAGCTTCCCCATGCCCCTGCCTGATTATGGGCTCCATTCATGCATATGTCGTGTGTGTTCTCATTGCCGTGTGGTATTCTGTTGTGTGAATACATCCTAATTGTTGCATCCATGCTACCGTTGGTGGGGCGTTCGGGTAGTTTCTAGTTTTGTCTCTCACAAGTACTGCTGCTGAGAGCTTCTCAGCTTCTCTGAGAGCTTCGGTGAGTCCAAGTAGGCGTTCCTGTTAGGTGATGATTTCACTACTCAGGGGTAGCACTGCTGGGTCATAGGGTATGTTCATTTCCAGTTCGCTGGCTGCTGCCAGTTCGTTTTCCAAAGTGGCTGTGCCACTTTGTCCCTCCACCTGCAGCGTGGGATTCTCTTGGTCCCCATGGTCCCTACCAACACTTATCAATTTCCATCTTTTAGGCCAGCTACTTACTAAAGGTTTACAGTTACCATTCACAGGAGAGCCAGGTAAAAGACAACACGTGGGTCAATGGAAGGCAAGCACCACTGAGAAAAACTCTGATTGGCTGTGGAATAGATGGAAGGCTAAAAAAAAAAAAAAAATCTTCCCCCTGGTTCTTGGCCCATTTGATAAAGGTTCCAATCCAGGCTTCTAGCTGGACAGGTTGACAAACTTAGGCGCGGGCCAGTCTTTATTCGTGCGGCTCTCTTAGATCATATGTTTTTCTCTTATCCCCAGACTCATCCCTCAGACTCTGAAACATCTTGTTTATATTTTCAGAGGCGGATCTTGGATGGAAGTCTTGGCTTTGCTGCAGGGGTAAGTAGCGTGTCAGTAGGAGCGATGTAAAACGGAGACATGCTTATTCTAACATTTCTGTGCCAAGGGGGTATGTCCAGTCTCTCTTCCTGCCACCTAGATGCATCTCTCTGGGCTCCAGGTGCTAATGGCCCCTTCGTATCTCCGCCCCTACTTACCATCGAGCTTATTGAAATGCTCCCACCTCTCAGCGAGAGAGGCCTGCTTGTAGGGCAGCTGTCTCAGGACTTGTGAAATGAGGTGGTTTTTAGGAAGGGCGCTAGTTAAATATCTTTTCTCTCTTTCCCTTCCCTTTAAAAGCCCTTTTTTTATTGGCATCTCCAAACATGTTAAAAAAAGTGGAGAGAATCCCAGGTAGCCATCATTCAGCTTCAAGCATTACCGGTGTTTTGCTAATTTCATTTCTGCTGACTTCCCCCAACCTTCTTGAGAGGTTGGAATATGTTGTTAAAGCGAATCCAAGACATCGTGTAAGTTCACCCGAAAGTTAAATCCCCATCTTTAACCGGATGGCTTGTTTCATTTTGTTTTTTTACAACATAATCCCCTCATCACACTTACCCAAATTAGCAACTCCTTGCTGTAAGTAACCTAACAGCAGATTTTCTCCCATTTTTTCTTAAAAAAATTTTTTTTTGATGTTTTTATTTTATTTTTGAGACACAGAGAGAGCACGAGCTGGGGATGGGCAGAGAGAGGGAGACGGGGAACAAAGCGCGCTCTGGCGCTGACAGCAGAGAGCCTGAACCCACTTGCCTTAAGATCATGACCCAAGCCAAAGGCGGTCGCCTGGCTCACCGAGCCACCCAGGCGCCACTCGTCCAGTTTTTCAAAGGGGTCATCGAATCAGCAGTTGAGCAAGATTTTCATATCGATTATATCTTTTAAGTGCCTTTTATTCTTAACAATCCCCCCCCCTTTTTTTTTTCTCACTCCAGTAATTTGTTGGAGACACTGGGTCTTTTATATCCGTAGAGTGTCCCACATGGTGAATTTGGCTGATGGCTTCCTCGGTGGGGGGCTGTGCACCTTGCTCCCCGGTTCCCCGATCTGTGAGCCGGGCGTTAGAGCCTGGGGTTTGGGGCGTTCAGAGCCCGCTTCCCAGGCACGCGTATACCGTGGTGGGATGTTCTGCTTGTGTTTGTCACACCGGAAGTCCCGTACCACGTGGTTTTCTCTTCCGGGTGATCAGGATTTGGTTCCTTTGCTTTCTTTTTACTGTGATCTGCAAAAACTGGCCTGGGGGTGGGGTCTCCCAGAGGTCGCGTAAGTCAGCAGCCGTCAGACTGGGGTCCGTGTACCTTCCAGGGCACACAGAGGCCCTCCCGGTGGTGCACAGAGGCACGGAGAGTGTTCACGAAATCCGTTTCCAGGTCCTCAGCGGCCACAGGCTGTCTTTCCTGAAACCCACTCTGGTGAGGACACCCTGGCAGGCCGAGGTGCTCCTCGCCCGAGTCCCCTTCCGCGTTTGCCCTCTCCCACTTTACAAGATAGACGCACTCTTGCCATACTACCCTGTCCCTAGGTGGCAAAATCTCCACGCATAAATGGGGGAACGCTTGCGATGTTGGTGCTGCAGTGGAGAAAGTGAGGCCTCCAATCACCGATCCCTGGGCATAAATCCTTAAGTGGTTCAGACATGTCTCGCCCTTTGACTGTGGATCTAATCAAATTGTTTGCAGAGCGATGCTTAAATACCATTTTGGGATTTGGGGCCTGTAACTTGGATAAAATTCAGAGAACAAAATGACATTATTGTAACAAAGTATCTATTTTCTCCATCCTCTTCTTTATGCGAACACATTTCCTCTTTGCTTATGTTTAAAAAAGAAAGAAAAAGGCAAGAAAAATAGAAACAAAATTGATTCCCAACTCTTAATCTAGTGATGACCACTTAATATTTGTCCATGGATGTATGAGTGAATGGAAAAAACAAGGGGGGGGGCCTCATCCATGAAAATACACATTCCCCCCAAAAAATTTATTTTTTAGTGTTTAGTAATTGTAAAACAGTGTATTATATTTTTGTTGTTAGAAATCTGTTCTCTACCACTAATCATTTTAATGGTAACTCAATCTGGGAAATTGTTACTTAAGCAGTTAGAGCCCTAAGTTCACGTGAATTTTCCTAAAAATTAAATTAAAATGTATATAGACATTTATATTACAAAGAAGTAGGATAAATAAATCATTAATAGACTTTCTAGCGTAAAACAGAAGTTGCTTTAGGGTAAAATTCTGTGGGGAAAGAGAATTGAAATTTGAGTCTGGGAGAAAAAGTAATGATGTAAGTTTTGGGACTTTTCAAGAAGAGTTCGCTTTTTTGTGTGTTTAGGATGTAGCCTGTGAACAGAAGAGTATGTAAAACATGAACATACAGTTTATATATATATGTTTATATATATATTTTAAGAGGATAAAATATTTGTCCGTGGATATATGAATGAATCACTAGAGTAAGAGTGGGAATCAAATCCCTATGCTGTTTAGATCCCAGTGGATATAATTAATTGACTGATGAAACAAATCAATATTTATATGCCAGAAATGAGTTTGCACCTCTTGAAATTCAAGATGAAAACCTTTTAAATGTTAACTTTAAAAGGAGTGAGGGGGTACCTAGTTTTTCAAAAATTCTTCGAGGGGTTACATAGATGCAGAATTTGAAGAACTCTGTTCTGTACTGTCGTTCTGCTTTTGACTAGGCATTTGTGTCTCCTGTTCTAGGTGGCTCTTTTAGGGCAAAAGCCACTGTAAGGTTTATATAGCAAAAAGCAAAAAACAAAATGAAACAAGAAAGGGAACAAACAAGGAAAAGCAGAGAATAATAGTCTTCAGGACATGTAAGAATAAATTTGGGAGGATAATGAAACATGAAAATTTTAGATGTAATTCTCCCCCCCCCAAAAAAAAAAAAATCATCAGGCCACTCTTTTGTGGTCATTTAAGTATGAGGATCTAAAATAAAATAGTTTTACTTCTGCTTTTTAATGTAGTTGTTAAAAAAAAAGAGATTCTAAAAATTATTTACGTGTGTATGCTTTTTTCTTTTATTTTTTAAAGAAAATAGGATTTACTTTTCTGAAATTGACCTTGAGCTAGTTCCACGGGAGGAACTTCTCGAAAGTCACCAGATGCTTGGAGGAAAGTAAAAGTGTGCTGTGGGAGACCGTTGAGACTCAAAACTCAGGAAATACCAGTGGCCTTGGTGACTAGTAATGGGTTCTCATAAATGCTTCCCCAAACTAGGGAGAAGGCAGTAGAGCCCAGGTGGCCTGAGCTATAATAACCACTTGTACTAATCATAGGAATAATTTGTATTTAACACAGCCATTCTGTTGGCTAGGACAGTAGTTCTCAACGGGGGGGCGGTTTTACCCCCCGCTGCAGGGGGGCATTTGGCATGTTCAGTTGTGACAACTGATATCTAGCGGGTAGGGGCCAGGGATGTTGCTAAACACCTTCCAGTGCACAGGACAACCCCCCCCCCCCCCCCCCCCCCCCAGCCAAAGAATTACCTAGCCCAAAACGTCCGTGGTGCCACAGCAAGAAATCCCGGTCCAGAGCATTTTGATGTATCCTCTCTGGTCACAGAGTGGAATGTATAAAAATACAGATGTATTAGAAGTTAAAAAAAGAAGAAGAAGAAAATCATCCTGCCTCCCCCCCGCGCCCCCCCCCCCTTGCTTCTCAGAGGTCACCGCTGTTAACCATGAGCAGCTCCTTGGAGAACTGTTTATTATGCACGTACAAAGTATCGGCATAAACATGCCACAGGGCTTGCTAGCCTTCAGCACGGCTCTGAGATGCTTTGAGTAAATATCTTGAAAAGGGAAAGCCAGCCATCAGTCGGTTGACTGGGGTCCCATGGTACTTTGCATAGATGTAACATGTTTTCAGATCAGCGGGATACATTTATGCATGTGTTGTATGTGCATTGACACCCGTCTCTGCTTTAATGCTGCAGTGATGTATCTATACAATATATAATTGTGCACCGAGAAAGGAGATTCCTGGGACAAAGGACGTGGTGTTTTAAATGTGCTTAGCGGTATATTTCACAGGTGGTTTTTTTCCCTCATTAGCAGGGCCTTGGAAGCATTAATCAGTTCTCCTTAAATGACTCTTCAGAGAATCCCATTTGCCTTCCGCTGCCTCCCCCCCCGACTCCTGACTCCTAAAAATGGTTTAGACTCTTTTAAGTCTTTCATATTTGTTGTCTTTTTCTTAGTACCCATGTCAGCCGTCACATTTTGCCTGAGGTGTGAACTTAATGGGGAGAAATTTTACCGTTAAAAAAAAAAAAAGGCAGAAAAAGAAACCTAGAGTATTACAGCATTAAAGCCGGAAGAGTTTTACAACTTAAAAAAAATTGTTTTTAATGTTTATTTTTCAGAGAGACAGAGAGAGATAGGGTGAGCGGGGGAGGGACAGAAAGAGAGGGAGACACAGAACCTGAAACAGGCTCCAGGCTCCGAGATGTCAGCACAGAGCCCGATGGGGGCTCGAACTCTCGAACTGTGAGGTCATGACGTGAGCCAAAGTCGGGATGCTTAACCGACTGAGCCTCTCAGGCACCCCAAAGCTGGGAGAGATTGTAGATGGTTATAATAGCTAATATTTATTGCACCTTTGTTGTTTACAAGGTGCTCTGCTGAGCACTTTGTGTCAGCCATCTAATTTAATTTTCATAACGACTCCATGAGGTATGTAGCATCTACTATTATTTACTCCCACTTTACAGCTGAGGAAATAGGCATAGCAATTGTAAATGAATTGTTCCGGATTTCCCACGGTGAGCAGAGGCAGGATTTGAACACACAGTCTGACTCCAGAGCTTTCCCTCTTAAACCATAGTGCCTCCCGGCTGATGTCTGGTCCAGTTGCCCCTCATGTAGAGGCAGGAAACAAATGCAGAGAGAAGAAATGACTTCTCTAGAATCGGAAATCACTAGGTAGGGGCAGAGCTAGGACCAAACTCAGCTGAGAAGTCAGGAGCT